ATCCTGAATCCAGACCTGCAATGCCATTATATCAATATCTCGAGGGTTTTCAAATATTAACTCTCTTACCTTCAGGTGTTCTTTCACCAGTACGGCCACTCCTCCTCCTCCCTTCCTAGTTTTCCTGTCACATCTCCAAACTGGGAATTGGGAATACGACTTCATTTAATATATTTCCGTCAAGTTTCATCTCTGATAATGCGACAATATCTGGGACCTTGAGCTGAATTATATCTACAGCCACTCCTCCTCTCTTCTTATCAAAAGAAGGCTACCAAACCTTCGGTTTCGTCTCTGATAATGGCTATGTTAGCACCATCAACAAGCGCAAAATAATCAGAGGTGCGCTAAATATCACCAAGGATGCCAATACGAGAACAAAAACGCATAAGGTGAAAGATACACTGCCCATTGTATCTCGCCGGCACCTGGGATAGAATTCAGGACCACAAGTCCAGCGTGCTGTCCGCTCGGCCGGACTCGGCCGACCGACTCGGCCGACCTTAAGCTGAATTATATCTTGCAACTCCAAAGTTTTTGACCTCACTCCAAAGTCCTCACTTGTTGGAATATATAATTTTCAGGAACATGTTCCCTTTCCCTTTGCTCTTTACTCTCTCTTCCATTAATGATTTTGTTGCCTTGTTTTTATGTAAGATTTCACAAGCTTTATAGTTCCTGACACTTTGTAGAAAAAAAGAATTTCTGTCTTCTTTATTTCTATCCCTATTTAGACATTTTGCTTCAAAAACGTTCACTTTCAGGTTTTCTCTGTCCTCCTTAGAGAGGTCTTGTCTTATTGACCAAAGTTTACCAACCTCATCACACTGCAATTTCCTGGCATTTCTAAGCACTTCCATCATGTTTTTCACTTCGTTAAATGTCACCCTTAAGGAGCAGTTCTTGTCTCTCTCATATTTTCCTATTCTTCTAAAATCGCTGACATTTTCCTTTGAGCCTTCTCCTACACTTACTATTTTCTCTATGATTTTCATCTCTTCTGCTGCTCAGTCCACCCTAGATCCTTCTCTAAACATACAAAAATGATTATGGACTTACTTCTATCTGCAGTGTTTTGTACTAGTTTACTGTTGGTAACCAGTCCTTTCCTAATTGCTTGCCTAATTTCTGCTTCTTGTTGGTCATTTCTGGTTTTGACTTCTGAACACACTTCCTTGATTGTCTGTCTCTCTTTTACAAATTGTGCATACGTCTCTTTTATTTCTTCGTTATACTTTTCTAGTTCTTTATTAGCCTCCTCTATTTGAGTTGCCAATGAAGTTTCTCGTTGCATCTCCTTGCCTAACTCCATGTTAGCCCTCAGGCTCCCCTGGAGTTGTTCACCATACGAGTCTATTTTCTTGTTAATTTCTTCAAAATCCCTTCTCTTCACTTTCCATGCCTCAATTTCCTTTACTAGTTCCTTGATGTATTCCTCCTGTATCCTTACCTTATCAGTCAAGCTGCTAATTTCCTTATCTTGCTGGAAAATACTTCCTTTTAACTTACAAAATTCAATCTTGAGACCTTCATTTTCTTGTTCTAATTTAATACCCTTTTCTTCATAATTCTTTAGCATGTCCTCAATAATCACTAACCTGCCAAGAAAACCACCTTTCATTACATCTTGTTGCGAGAAACCTGCAAAACATTCCCTTGCTGGCGGTACTGTCCTCCCCAGTGGTGGCGGCCATCTTTGTTGACATTCTGCTGTTTTGAAAGATCAACTTTTCTAGCCAAGATTTTTCATTCACTAACACTTATTTCTTATCTCTTAGTTTATTTTCCAATTCCCTAGACCTTCATGTATTCTGGGACACCACTTGCAACCCTCACCCTACTCCCCACACTCAGATAATTTGACTCATCCTGGAGCCTGCAGCAGTGTGACTCTTCAGTGTGATGATTCTCATTCTCACTCTCTCTCTCTCTCATTCTCACTCTCACTCTCTCATTCTCACTCACTCACACTCTCATTCTCTCTCTCTCTCTCTCTCTCTCATTCTCACTCTCATTCTCACTCACTCACACTCTCATTCTCACTCACTCACACTCTCATTCTCTCTCTCTCTCATTCTCTCTCTCTCTCTCTCTCTCTCTCTCTCTCTCTCTCTCTCTCTCTCTCTCTCTCTCTCTCTCTCTCTCTCTCTCTCTCTTCTCTCTCTCTCTCTCTCTCTCTCTCTCTCTCTCTCTCTCTCTCTCTCTCTCTCTCTCTCTCTCTCTCTCTCTCTCTCTCTCTCTCTCTCTCTCTCTCTCTCTCTCTCTCTCTCTCTCTCTCTCTCTCTCTCTCTCTCTCTCTCTCTCTCTCTCTCTCTCTCTCTCTCTCTCTCTCTCTCTCTCTCTCTCTCTCTCTCTCTCTCTCTCTCTCTCATCTCTCTCTCTCTCTCTCTCTCTCTCTCTCTCTCTCTCTCTCATTCTCTCTCTCTCTCTCTCTCATCTCTCTCTCTCTCTCTCTCTCTCTCTCTCTCTCTCTCTCTTCTCTCTCTCTCTCTCTCTCATCTCTCTCTCTCTCTCTCATTCTCTCTCTCTCTCTCTCTCTCTCTCTCTCTCTCTCTCTCTCTCTCTCTCTCTCTCTCTCTCTCTCTCTCTCTCTCTCTCTCTCTCTCTCTCTCTCTCATTCTCATTCTCTCTCTCTCATTCTCTCTCTCTCAATCTCTCTCTCTCAATCTCTCTCTCTCACTCTCTCTCTCTCTCTCTCTCTCTCTCTCTCTCTCTCTCTCTCTCTCTCATTCTCTCTCATTCTCTCATTCTCTCACTCTCTCTCTCTCTCTCTCTGTAATTACCTAAGTGTAGTTACAGGATGAGAGCTACGTTCGTGGTGTCCCGTCTTCCCAGCACTCTTTGTCATATACCGCTTTGAAACTACTGACGGTCTTGGCCTCCACCACCTTCTCACTTAACTTGTTCCAACCGTCTACCACTCTATTTGCGAAGGTGAATTTTCTTATATTTCTTCGGCATATGTGTTTAGCTAGTTTAAATCTATGACCTCTTGTTCTTGAAGTGCCAGGTCTCAGGAAATCTTCCCTGTCGATTTTATCAATTCCTGTTACTATTTTGTATGTAGTGATCATATCACCTCTTTTTCTTCTGTCTTCTAGTTTTGGCATGTTTAATGCTTCTAACCTCTCCTCGTAGCTCTTGCCCTTCAGTTCTGGGAGCCACTTATTAGCATGTCTTTGCACCTTTTCCAGTTTGTTGATGTGCTTCTTAAGATATGGGCACCACACAACAGCTGCATATTCTAGCTTTGGCCTAACAAAAGTCATGAACAATTTCTTTAGTATATCGCCATCCATGTATTTAAATGCAATTCTGAAGTTAGAAAGCATAGCATAGGCTCCTTGCACAATATTCTTTATGTGGTCCTCAGGTGATAGTTTTCTATCTAGAACCACCCCTAGATCTCTTTCTTTATCAGAATTCTTTAGATTTCTCACATAATATATAGGTTGTGTGGGGGTCTATGTTCTCCTATTCCACATTCCATAACATGACATTTATTAACATTAAATTCCATTTGCCAAGTGGTGCTCCATCTACTTATTTTGTCCAGGTCTTCTTGAAGGGCATGACAATCATCTAAATTTCTTATCCTTCCTATTATCTTAGCATCATCAGCAAACATGTTCATATAATTCTGTATACCAACTGGTAGATCATTTATGTACACAATAAACATCACTGGTGCAAGAACTGAACCCTGTGGTACTCCACTTGTGACATTTCTCCATTCCAATACATTGCCTCTGATTACTGCCCTCATTTTTCTATCAGTCAGAAAATTTTTCATCCATGATAGAAGCTTACCTGTCACCCTCCAATATTTTCCAGTTTCCAGAACAACCTCTTATGTGGAACTCTGTCGAAAGCCTTTTTAGGTCCAGATAGATGCAGTCAACCCAACCATCTCTTTCCTGTAATATCTCTGTGGCTCGATCATAGAAACTGAGTAAATTCGATACACAGGATCTTCCAGATCGAAAACCATACTGTCTGTCTGATATTATATCATTTCTCTCTAGGTGTTCTACCCATTTAGTTTTGATTAGTTTTTCCAATACTTTCACTATTACACTTGTCAATGATACAGGTCTATAATTGAGGGGGTCTTCCCTGCTGCCACTTTTGTAGATTGGAACTATGTTAGCCTGTTTCCACACGTCTGCTACGATTCCTGTACACAGGGATGCCTGAAAGATCAGGTGAAGTGGAATGCTGAGCTCAGATGCACATTCTCTCAGAACCCATGGTGAAACGCCATCTGGGCCAGCTGCTTTGTTCTTACCGAACTCCTTGAGCATTTTTTCCACTTCGTCTCTAGTCACCTCTATGTGCTCTATGTTGTTCTCTGGAATTCTTATTGTATCTGGTTCCCTAAAGATTTCATTTTGTACAAACACACTTTGGAACTTTTCGTTTAGTGTTTCACACATTTCCTTTTCATCTTCCGTGAATCTATTTCCCATTTTCAACCTCTGAATATTATCCTTTACCTGCAATTTGTTGTTTATGAATTTATAGAATAGACCTGGTTCTATTTTACATTTGTCTGCAATCCCTTTTTCAAAATTTCTTTCTGCCTCTCTCCTCACTGCCGTGTAGTTGTTTCTCGCATCTTTGTATCGCTGGTATGTTTGGGGGTTCGGCCTCTTCCTGTATTGATTCCATTTTTGTGTCTTTTGGTCTCTAGCCCTCTCGCAATTTCTATTGAACCCATCTTGTATTATCAGTCTGTGTATGTGTGTATGTGTGTATGTGTGCATGTGTGTATGTGTATGTGTATGTGCGTGCGTGAGTGTGTGTGTCTGTGTGTGTGTAAAAAAAATTTGTTAGTGGTTAGTAACAGTTGATTGACAGTTGAGAGGTGGGCCGAAAGAGCATAGCTCAACCCCCGCAAGTACAACTAGTTGATTACAACTAGGTAAATACATACTACAGCAGTGCTGCCTCTCCTCACTTCCCACAACTCTACTAGGTGATAAGTTAAATGCCATATATATTTTATGTACATACCACATATATTATGCACAAACTACATATATTATGTACATACCACATTTATATATATATATTATACACATACCACACACATGTACATACTATATGAACCATGTGGAGAATTGTGCTGTAAAACATGTACAAAAGTCAATTACTAAATGAGCTTATTAAAAGAAATCCAAAACAAAATACAGCTTGGTATCATAATTTTAAATCTAACCAGATTCACCTTAAATTAAGGGAGAGAATATTCCCAAGAAAAGTCAGAGTCCCTCCACTCCTTATCTACCATGATGACCAAAGCACAAGTCAGAAGACGGAGAAGCGACGACGTTTTGGTCCGTCCTGGACCGTTATCAAATCATAAAACACGACTTGATAAGGGTTCAGGATGGACCGAAATATCGTCGCTTCTAAATCTTCTGAAAAGTGTGGTTTGGTCATCATTCTTCAGCCCTGTTATTGGACTCATTGTCAGCTTATCTAGCATATTAATGCACAACAACCGCTCCTATTTTTGTCATATTTGCATTACTCCAACCCTTGCAAAACTGATTCAAATTTCAAATATTCAAACCTTGAAATATTTACTCAATTAAAAAAGTCCTTATTACTAATATAAATAGACAGGTATATCATTATTATACAATAATGTGCTTTAGTTAAAAGGCTAGAGCATCCATTATAAGTAAATACATGATAACACATGTATATGCCGTGTATAAAAAGCAAAACATTACATACGTTGCTAAACCTTTAAAAACTTCTCATCTACACGTGATAAATTTAAATATGCTGTACTGTACATTGAAAATTACACTGCCTATTAAGTTAGATTAGCAAACAGATGCCATAGTCAAATCCAGCTTACACAGGAACAATTAACTCGGTCCACTTTTGTGACACTTTACATAGGCTTCAGTGAAAATAGAAATACCTTGCTCAATGAAAGAACTGACATTTGCGCTGCGTTCTAGGTCAGGGTCAATTTTAAGACACTGCTGTGCTTTAAGAAGCTCTTCCAAGAAAACTCCAAGTTGTTCTTTCTTTCCTTCTGCAATATTAGCAGACTTGGTAGACACAGTTGCACACTCCTTGTGCTTGGCTCTTGCACACACTTTAATCAATTCATCAACTGAAAATGTCTCCTTGTGTGATTCTAATAATTTATTTATATCTTCAATGGTGATGTCACTGAAGCCATCACCGGGAATTTTACAAGCAATCTCTACAATTCTTTGCACCTCTGTGCTGCTGTCAGGAAAACCCTTAAAGTCACTCACAACAGCTGGCCACATACTATACCACACACAGTTTAATGTCTCCTGTGATATGGAACACCAACACTTGGAAATACACATTATGCAGTCTTTAATTGTGTAAGACTTCCAAAACTCCTTCACATCATTGGCTTCCTTTCCCTCTGTTTCCAACAAGAGATTCTGTAATACTGACTTCAAATACATACATTTCAGTTGAGTAAATATTCCTTGGCTCAAAGGCTGGATAAGGGATGTCGTGTTCCTTGGCAAGTACATAATTTTGATAGTATCATGAATATCATTGAGATACAGAGGATGATTTTGAGCGTGATCAACTAAAATGAGGGCCTTTTCTGCAAGGTTCTTACACTGGCAATAATTTTGCACTGTAGGGATAGCATAATTAACAAACCAGTCTTCAAAGAGTTCAGCAGTCACCCGTGGCGTCTTGTTCCATTTCCACAAGACAGGCAACTGGGACAGACTTGTGCCCTTCAGTGAATGAGGCTCCTTGGAATGGTAAACCATCATGGGCTTCATCTTTAAGTCCCCAGAAGCATTAGCACACAATAAGAGAGAGAGATAGTCTTGAGCCGTCTCCAATCCCGATACAAATGTTTTATCTTTGGTAACGAAGGTCGAGTCAGGAAGGCGTTTCCAATACAGCTCAGTCTCATTGGCATTAAACACTTGGTCTGGACTGTAACCTCCCTTTTCTATATTTTCCAAGAGCTTCGGCAGGAATTCTTCTACGGCACCCTTATCTGCACTGCCAAATTCACTGGTCAAGGAAATATTATGAAACTGGTGAAATTTCTTGAAGCCTTCGAGCCAAGCATGATTAAACTGAGGTTCTTCACTAGGTCCACCTTCACAAGACATATGCTCATAAATCTGCCAAGCTTTCTTCTGGATCATGGCATCTGATACGGGCACATGGTTCTGCATTTGATTTTCTATCCAAAAGGTCAATGCAGGTTCAATATGTTTAAATTTGCCATTTCCATTATACTTTGTTTCATTATTACAAAGTAGCGATTGGTAAGCTTGAGTTTTCTTGCACTCTCCAACACTAGACTTATTGACGTCACATTCCCTTCTGATATTGGTAGCCGACTCTCCATTCTGGAGTCTTTCCAACACCAATACACTATTCTGAAGGGAAGCTACCTCCTCCTCTCCAGGGTCTGAAGCAGGTGGAGTAGCAGGTGCTGGTGTGATATTTTCTTGTGCTCTAGCCATGGTGATAACACCTGTAAGCCAAAGGATGGAGAAGTAAACACTAGATGAATATCCACAGATGTTAAGACTGCATACACCTGCACTACTCTATGAGGAGCGCAGTACGAACAAGGGTATGTGCCAGGCCAACGTGTGGTCACTTGGTGGGACCCACAGGTCGCTCTTAACTGCCAGCTTCATTAAACCCTATACAGTACCAAGAAGTATGCATACACAAAGATACTAAGATACATTTTTTACAGTATTTGTAGAATACAAATAAATCTTTATACAAATGAAATAGGCACACTGCATATTTATTTGCATAAATAAGAATATATTGATTGCAAAAAACCTGGGGCCAGATTCACGAAGCAGTTACGCAAGTACTTACGAACATGTACATCTTTCCTCAATCTTTGACGCCTTTGGTTACATTTATTAAACAGTTCACAAGCATGAAAACTTACCAATCAACTGTTGTTATTGTTATAAACAGCTTCCTGGTGCTTCAGAGCTCATTAACTGTTTAATAATTGTAAATAAAACCGCCAAAGATTGAAAAAGATGTACAGGTTCGTAAGTGCTTGCGTAACTGCTTCGTGAATCTGGCCCCTGAAATTTAAGGAGGATTACAATATTTTTAAAACTAAATAGCATTATATAAATTATTTGCACTGAAAGCCTACTCTTCACATTCTGAATTCCTACCTGAATTCAAAATGAATGGCCATTCAAAACAAAAAAACCTAAAATATCAGGGCAATGCAGTACTTCAGCAAGTTAACTAATTATACAAAAATCATGCAATTTAGTGTACCATTAACAAAATTTGTACACACATCCAAGTCAATAATTTACAAAAACTCAATTAAGCTTGATGAACAAACACAGTATCGAACTTTGGAACATTAAAGGTCAGAATCAGTAAAGGTTCGGATCACTTTACATCCACATGATAAATTACTATGTGAAAATATTTCAAGCAGGCCATTACAGTTTGATGGACAAATCACAAAGGCTAAAATGTAAAGCTTCCTAAGTGATACAGTATTAGTATTACTGTATTTTGCAAGTGAATACAGTGCATCTCTTTTGGTACAGTATACAGGGCATCTCTCTCTCTCTTGGTACAGTATACAGAGCATCTCTCTCTCTCTTGGTACAGTATACAGGGCATCTCTCTCTCTCTCTTGGTACAGTATACAGGGCATCTCCCTCTCTCTCTTGCTACAGTATACAATGCATCTTTATTGATACAGTAAACAATGCTTCTCACTTGGTACAATATACAATGCTTCTCTCTTGGTGGAGTATACAATGCTTCTCTCTTGGTACAGTAAACAATGCTTCTCTCTTGGTACAGTATACAATGCTTCTCTCTTGGTACAGTATACAATGCTTCTCTCTTGGTGGAGTATACAATGCTTCTCTCTTGGTGGAGTATACAATGCTTCTCTTGATACAGTATATAATGCTTCTCTCTTGGTACAGTATACAATGCTTCTCTTGATACAGTATATAATGCTTCTCTCTTGGTACAGTATACAATGTTTCTCTCTTGGTACAGTATATAATACTTCTCTCTTGGTACAGTATACAATGCATCTCTTGGTACAGTATACAATGCTTCTCTTGGTACAGTATACAATGCATCTCTCTTGGTACAGTATACAATGCTTCTCACTTGGTACAGTATATAATGCTTCTCTTGGTACAGTATACAATGCTTCTCTTGGTACAGTATATAATGCTTCTCTCTTGGTACAGTATACAATGCATCTCTTGGTACAGTATATAATGCTTCTCTTGGTACAGTATACAATGCTTCTCTTAGTACAGTATACAATGCTTCTCTTGGTACAGTATATAATGATTCTCTTGGTACAGTATACAATGCTTCTCACTTGGTACAGTATATAATGCTTCTCTTGGTACAGTATACAATGCTTCTCTTGGTACAGTATACAATGCTTCTCTTGGTACAGTATACAATGCTTCTCACTTGGTACAGTATACAATGCTTCTCTTGGTACAGTATACAATGCTTCTCTCTTGGTACAGTATACAATGCTTCTCTCTTGGTACAGTATACAATGCATCTTTGTTGATACAGTAAACAATTCTTCTCACTTGGTACAGTATACAATGCTTTTCACTTGGTACAGTATACAATGCTTCTCTTGGTACAGTATACAATGCTTCTCTTGGTACAGTATACAATGCTTCTCACTTGGTACAGTATACAATGCTTCTCTTGGTACAGTATATAATGCTTCTCTTGGTACAGTATACAATGCTTCTCTTGGTACAGTATACAATGCTTCTCTCTTAGTACAGTATACAATGCTGCTCTCTTGGTACAGTATACAATGCTTCTCACTTGGTACAGTATACAATGCTTCTCTCTTGGTACAGTATACAATGCATCTTTGTTGATACAGTAAACAATTCTTCTCACTTGGTACAGTATACAATGCTTCTCTTGGTACAGTATACAATGCTTCTCTCTTGGTGGAGTATACAATGCTTCTCTTGATACAGTATATAATGCTTCTCTCTTGGTACAGTATACAATGCTTCTCTTAGTACAGTATACAATGCTTCTCTTGGTACAGTATATAATGCTTCTCTTGGTACAGTATACAATGCTTCTCTTGGTACAGTATACAATGCTTCTCTTGGTACAGTATACAATGCTTCTCTTGGTACAGTATATAATGCTTCTCTCTTGGTACAGTATACAATGCATCTCTTGGTACAGTATACAATGCATCTCTTGGTACAGTATACAATGCACCTCTTGGTACAGTATACAATGCTTCTCACTTGGTACAGTATACAATGCTTCTCTTGGTACAGTATACAATGCTTCTCTTGGTACAGTATACAATGCTTCTCTCTTGGTACAGTATACAATGCTTCTCTCTTGGTACAGTATACAATGCATCTCTTGGTACAGTATACAATGCATCTCTCTCTTTCTTGGTACAGTAAACAATGCATCTCTCTTGGTACAGTATACAATGCTTCCTCTCTCTCTTGGTACAGTAAACAATGCATCTCTCTTGGTACAGTATACAATGCTTCTCTTGGTACAGTATACAATGCTTCTCTCTTGGTACAGTATACAATGCTTCTCTCTTGGTACAGTATACAATGCTTCTCTTGGTACAGTATACAATGCATCTCTTGGTACAGTATACAATGCATCTCTTGGTACAGTATACAATGCTTCTCTTGGAACAGTATACAATGCTTCTCTCTTGGTACAGTATACAATGCTTCTCTCTTGGTACAGTATACAATGCTTCTCTCTTGGTACAGTATACAATGCTTCTCTCTTGGTACAGTATACAATGCTTCTCTCTTGGTACAGTATACAATGCATCTCTTGGTACAGTATACAATGCTTCTCTTGGTACAGTATACAATGCATCTCTTGGTACAGTGTACAATGCATCTCTTGGTACAGTATACAATGCATATCTTGGTACAGTATACAATGCTTCTCTTGGTACAGTATACAATGCATCTCTGGTACAGTATACAATGCTTCTCACTTGGTACAGTAAACAATGTATCTCTCTTGGTACAGTATACAATGCTTCTCTCTTGGTACAGTAAACAATGCTTCTCCCTTGGTACAGTATACAATGCTTCTCTTGGTACAGTATACAATGCTTCTCTTGGTACAGTATACAATGCTTCTCTTGGTACAGTATACAATGCTTCTCTTGGTACAGTATACAATGCTTCTCACTTGGTACAGTATACAATGCATCTCTCTCTCTTGGTACAGTAAACAATGCATCTCTCTTGGTACAGTATACAATGCATCTCTCTCTCTCTTGGTACAGTAAACAATGCATCTCTCTTGGTACAGTATACAATGCTTCCTCTCTCTCTTGGTACAGTAAACAATGCATCTCTCTTGGTACAGTATACAATGCTTCTTCTCTCTCTTGGTACAGTAAACAATGCATCTCTCTTGGTACAGTAAACAATGCTTCTCTTGGTACAGTATACAATGCTTCTCTTGGCACAGTATACAATGCATCTCTTGGTACAGTATACAATGCATCTCTTGGTACAGTAAACAGTGAATCTCTCTTATTAAGTATATACAACTGTAGCAATGCTTTTACCATGCATTTATTTTTGAGTCAAGATTACCACTCATAGCCAACTACAGCCTCGATACAGCCTGTCAACTCATCAGGGGTCAATATGGGCCATTCTGTAATCTTCCATTATACAGAAACTAAGCATCGTATACAGAGGAGATATTTTGCTATGTTACAGAAGAGACACTTTGCTATGTAATGACACACAAACTCTCGGAAATGATGCAAATACAGTATGGCTTTTCAAACAAATACCTGTTAATTGAATCATGGTATCATGTTTGCACCATCACTATGTCCTAATTGACGCATACCAGTTTCAATTCTGCCTCAGCTACACAGCTGAATTCAGTGTTTATCATTCATTTTTATATCCAGTGCTTATTTTTTACATGCTTTTTCTTAAGGTTAACACAATGGAATTATTGGTGGTGCGTGCAAGTACGAGTGTGATGACGGAGCATCGCAACACAGGCATCGTACTGGCACCTTGTTTAACATTAACATTATTGTTGACCAAACTACACACTAGAAAGTGAAGGGACGACGACGTTTCGACTTGAGAATGGTCCAGGACGGACCGAAACGTCGTCGTCCCTTCGCTGTCTAGTGCGTGGTTTGGTCAACTTATTTCAGCCACGTTATTGTGACTCCTTGTCTGCATTAACATTATTACTGCCATTGTAATATAATGTCACTACTGTAGTTCATATTCTTTATATACAAATGCCTGAACATGTGTCATTTAAAATAACATAGTTCATTTTGATAAAATCCTAATATGTGAGCGTTATAGTAACTAGACAGACTTGGAGCACAAGTAGGTGATGAAGTAAGGTATGTCAGCACTGTATGTTACAGCCATGTTTCTTTATGACTGATGCAAGTACTAGTATAATTATCAT